GTTTTTTAAAAGCAAGGAGAGAAATAGAAACAGGGGCAGAAAAAAAACCTTTCGTTCTCTGCCAGAATTAAGGAGGCGTTAATCCAATCTAGATCCACAGATGATTTCATTGCATCTTGATCCCATAGCACTCTGAGTCATAAGATCAGCCCGGAGATAGTACAGTACTGAGGCAAAACATTATTTTGTTACTTGTCTTATTTTTGTGGTTTACTACAATAAAGGGCTAGTATAGTCAGAGTGGCATATATACAGGCATTTGAAGTTTAAATGTCTTTAACAGTACTCAGTATTAACCTACTTGTTATTTTAATAACATTCCACTATTTTACTTATTTGTTTTATCCCCAGCTTTTCATTCAGGACCACAAGTTCCCCTTCCTCCTATTCTTCCCATAACAACCACCCTGCGAGGTAGGCTGGACAGAATGAACGTGGCTAGTCCAAAATCATCCGGGGGGGGGACTAGAACCTGGATTCCCCCCCCCCGTCCCAGTCCAACACTTTCAACCCCTGTACCATGTACCATGCTTGGGGATACCTTCAGTAGGGAAGGCAATATAAAAATTAATGAAATTGAATTGCATTATTGGTAAGACACAGTTGCAATCGTTCTCTTGAGTCCTGACATTTCAGTTAAGCCTTTCTCAGCAGCCTATCCCACTTCACAAAAAGTGGTTTTCCTCTGATCTTCTTGAAGACACAGTGGGAGATAAAAAGGAGAGAATAACTAACTCTTTTGCTTCACCTGCAAGGTTTGAGGACATACGAAGAGCTTCCTTTCTAAACTTTTGTTTCTATAAAAGCATGGGTTTTATTTATATCTCCCACATTTCTCCTTTGTAGTGCATATGCATCGCTCAGAATGGTTTACAGCCTTTGAAAGAACATTGAAAACATTTTTTAAAAAGAGGTTAGAAACCATTACCAAAAAAAAAATGTAACGAAACTGAGAAAGTAGGCAGAAAAAAATATTTCTGCAGTACCCTTCAGTTTAAGTTTTGTTCTCCCTCAACCTCACTTACTTAACAAAATTATTATCTGGAAAAACATTAAAGTAAATCACATTATGCACTGCTCAGAGATGTCCGGAAGGAGGATAGAAGATAAAATGAGGATTCTGGAAGTGCAGATTAAACACTTCATCACTTTTTGTGAAGTGAACTATAACTTTTATGACTCCACAAGTTAATATATTTGTTAATATGACTCTGAATCAATTGTAGTCTCTTAAAGATCCTCAGTATCTGAAATCATATCAAGATACTGAGAACCGTGGATTTTTTAAGAATGGGAGTCGACCAATAGAAAATTTCTGAGCACTGGGTCCAAGTTTCAACTGCTACTTAAATTCTCCAGAGTTTTTTTCCCCCATTTCTTGTTTTCTCTTATATTATTTCATTACTCCTGCAGTATATATTTATACTTTTATTTGCACTTTGCTGAAAAATAAGCATAAAATGTTCCAGAGGGACTCAGAATCTCTCTTGAGCTTCTAATTTAAGGGATCTTCAAAGCATTAGGTAGGTTGGAGTCAGCTCCTGCTCTTGAAACTCAGAGCAGCTGTGACCAATTTTACCTGAGCAAACCCACCCTCAGCCTCTCATTCCCTTTCCTGGAAGTAAATGACTAAATTCAATGGGTTACTTTGGAGTAAGCACCTATGGCATTACTGGGATCTTTCAGGCGTGTTGGAGGGCAGCTGCGGTAAGGATGAGAGGGTGGCTGACTGAGATTGAGAATGGTAACCCCTATGTGGAGCACTGATCTTGGAGAATGCTCCTGAAGGATTTCTTTGGGAATAAGAGCAGGATCTCTAGTATAAGGAGAGGCAGAGAAATGATCTCTTCCTCCAGTTTTTTACATTATGCATAATCTGATAAACATTCCTTGTATTGCTTCACATCATTTTTATAGAGTTAATTCTTTCCTTCACAAGCAGTCAAGAAATACACTGCACGTAGCACTTGGTAGAGCAGCCATGAAAGCCTTGGAAAAGATATTCAAATGCGTGATGTGTCTTTACCTACAATCGCACAAGTCATGGTGTTCCCTGTGACACTGTATGCAAGCGGAAGCTGGAATTTAAAGAAGCAGGATAGGAGGAGTATTGACACCTTTGAACTTTGGTGTTGGAGAAGACTGCTGAGAATACTGTGGACAGTCAAAAAAACAAACCGATGGATCATCAAACAAACCAGCCCAGAGTTCTTACTCAAGGCACAAATGACCAGAGTCAAATTATCCTGCTTTGGACACGTGATGCGAAGACTTAGCTCTCTGGAGAAGGCTCTCATGCTGGGAAAGGTGGAAGGAAAGAAGAGGATGACCAGCAGCAAGATGGATGAACTCTGTTACAGCAGTGGTGGGGGCACTGTTGGAAGACCTGAAGGACCAAACTGGGGACAGATCATCATGGAGAAAATCTATCTGTCAAGGTTCTTCAACCTCAGCAACTTTAAGATGGGTGGACTTCAACTCCCAGAACTCCCATGGCTGGCTGGGCAATTCTGGGAGTTGAAGTCCACCCATCTTAAGTCTACCCATCTTAAAGTTGCTGAGGTTGAGGAACCCTGATCTATGTGGTCACTAAGAGTCAACGCAGACTTGATAGCACAGAATCAATTATTTCCTTCAGTATAAATAGGATTGGTTGATGAAGATTCTCAGTCATCCAGGTGGAATTGTCTGGAGGCTGAGTCATGACAACTGGATTTTTCTTTTGGTTTGATATGTTTCGCTGCTTGTCCAAGAGGCTTCTTCAGTCTACAAACCCTAACCCAAAAGAAAAGCCCCATTGCCGTGACTCAACCTCCAGACTATAAATAGGATTGTATTCACTGAAATGAAGGGTCTATTCAATTCAATATGCCCAACTTCAAAGTAAACCCACAAGGGATTCCACAGGTATTATTGAAAGTGCATGCCATTGTATTCAAGCTGCACATTCCTCTCAGTAACTACACATACGATTGGGCATGATGATGGCAATGGGAATGTTTGCTCTGATGGGACCAACTGATTCAAGTTGATGAACTTCCCCACACTGATAATTTTGTAAGATAGTACTATATTTGTTTTATTGTTAAGTCACTTCGGGCTTTCTTCTGGAAAAACAGTGATACAAATATTATGTGGAATGCAATGCAGGAGGATCCCAAACAATAAAGGTGCAAATCCATTCGTTTTTAATTGGGAGTAAGGATGATGGAACTCAGTGGGGCTTACTTCTGAGAAGAAATATACAAGGCAGTTTTAAGGCTGCAATCTTATTATAGTTGCCTGGATGTAAGCCCCATCCGTAGAAGGCACTGATGCTTACTTCTGAATAAAAACTTAGAATTAGGCTAAATCCATAAGGTTACACGAGTGAATTGCATTGGAAAAAAAACAGATCTGCCGAAGATTGAGCTGGTGTCCCACCCTAAATATAGTTAGATATTAGAAAGCTCCACTGACCAAATGGGGCTGTAAGTAAATTAACAATATATGAGGAGGGGAGAAAAGAAAGCTTAAAGTAAAGCCACCTGTGCTGAGTGAGGTGCAACTGATGTGTTTAGGTATGTTAATTTGCACCATCTCAGGCTTTGAGACATCTGTACTAGGGAAGGCTTATAAATGATCTTCACACATATAATCCTAGAGATTATAATCCATATCATCTCTGCAACAATTAACTTGGCCTAGGCAGAACCAGGTCTAAATTCCCACAGCTTTGGCATTTTGGACCACCTACCATTTCTTCACGGACCTCACTGGATGGATAGTTGTGAGGCTAAAATACACACTACCTTGATCTCAGTGGGGAAACAGAGAAATATACTAAATAGGGTGGTTTTGTTTTTATTGATAGTTGTGAGCTGTTTATTATATGAGAGAGGAGGCCCCATGCTGAAGTTCTGTGAATAAATAAAAGAAAGAGCCTTATCCTTCATGTAAATCAGCACTTGTTCCCTACCTCTTTCAAAGCTGGGTGTTAAGGTTGCCCTGCTCTACCTTCTCCTCTCTTGCGAGGTTCTTTTGCTTTTCACTGCTGCACAACAGGCAGGTATCCAACAGATGCAGCCCCTCCGCCCC